ACACCCTGTCCTGTACCCTGTACCTGTGTAAAAACAACATCTTTCCTTCAATGTATCAGGATACTCTACAACAGGGATAGGTCACTCCGCTTGCTTTCTTTACCATTTGTACTAATTAACGTGTGCCTCGTCATGCTCCAACGCCCACAGTGACTTGGTTCGGTCCAAGCGCAACTTCGGCTGCGTTTAACAGTACTTCAGCCAGTGTATTGTATCAGTCGGAATTTGACAATGAATGAATGAATGAATTAAGAGCAAGAATTTTATGTGAATGTTTAGAACTATCACAAAGCGTTGTAAACACCTTTCCAGTTTTGTCAAATACTAAGATCAACAAGAAAGAAAGAAGTTTTAGAACTATAACACTCAAGCATCACAAGCACCAATGGCGATATGTCATATTTTTCACACACCTCAAATACACACACTAACAAAACCAAAAACCAAAAAGTATCAATGTTACTTGCAAAACCTTTCACCTGATGGTATATTCCCCTCATAAAAATTAAAGGTGTATGTGAAAGATGTTTTAGAACAATAGCTAGAACCACTCAAACAACGCCCTGTAGTATTTCAATGGCAGGTCGGCGATATGTCATATTTTCACACACCTCAAATACACACTAATTTTTTGTAAATTATAAAACTATCACTTTTACTTGCAAACACCTTTCACGTGTTGGTATATTCCCCTCATAAAAATTAAAGGTGTATGTGAAAATGTTTTTGAACACTAACTAGAAACACTCAAACAACGCCCTGTAGTATTTCAATGGCAGATCGGCGATATGTCATATTTTTCACACACCTCAAATACACACTAACAATTTTTTAAATTATAAAACTATCACTATTACTTGCAAACACCTTTCACCTGATGGTATATTTCCCTTCTAAAAAATTAAACGAATATGTGAAAGAAGTTTTTAGCGATATAATTTAGTCTTTCTTCGCTGTGTACTGAGAATTGAAGCCAGTGAGCTACAACATGCCCACTTGAAACTTTACTACAAAGCTACTGTACTTATACTGACACTAATAATAATTATTTGACTTGAAATGAAGTGACAGAATAGGTATCTTATCTTCTACATGTAGGTTTTCAGTTGTCACAACACTCAGCGTATGTAATCAGCTGTTGAAAATAAACCGGGCTCAATCTTAAAACTACGCTGCCGCCATATTGGCTACACTGGTCACGTGACGAGCCGAGGCATAGCTTAGGAGCTTTCGAGGAGTGACCACTCCCCTTTATAGAGTCTCCCTGAATGTATTAACCGCCAGTAAGTTGATGGGGTGTTCCTCTTTGCCAGTCGGGCAAGTTGTTTATTTAAGGCGTAAGAGGATCACCAGACCATGTTAATTAGCAAGACAATGGTACGGGTGGGTGGGGAGTGTGGGGAGGAGATGACCAAGCCAAGAAAACACAAGTGGATTAATGCTCATTATTGGCTAATTAGATTACCTTTTTAAAGAATGGCGGACATCATGCAATTAGTTGACCAATGAGATTATACACCAATGTGAAAACTGAATCGATGTATCCCTTTTTCGGGTATTAGACTGTTAAAAGACACTTGGCATGGAACGGGATTCTTTGTCAGCTGCAGATCAGTGGCATATTGTTCCTTTATGTGAGTAGTGTCCTATTTTTGACAGCGTCTTGGTCACTGATTCACGAAGTTTCGCTCTCAAACCTGGGATAACTAGCTGCACCAATTATGGGTAGTTATGTTAATGCAATCACCTGAGAGAAGTACAGAACAAGTAAAATTCTTCAACACTAATACAAACTAATACGAGACGAACTGCTAGCAGGAATGGTACCATTATATGGAGATATCAGTGCCTGAAAACAGCCTCAGTCACTACAATAGCAGATGGGACTGTTGTCAAAAGAGGGACAAACAGCATACACATCCAGACCAAAGCTCTATTGGCTCCTATATCCAAATTTGAGGCTGTCAAAATCGGGACTTAACCTATGTGGATATTGATGGATACATTCCTCGAACAAGGTAATAACCTGACATTGTTGAAGACTTTTAGTCGGTTTTATTTCTAATATTTGCATTTTGTTTTTATTCATTTGTGGTAGCATTCAACAGAATCATTTGTTTTCGCCGTAATGAGACAGACAACATACACTAGGTCATACCTAGGTGTGTGTGAAATATGATTCTTGTTGGCATTCTATAAAATGTCTAGATATTACAGTCATGTTATAAATACGCTATAAGTATAACCGTATGCTTTTTATTAAGTTTCAAAATGCATGCCAAATATGGCAATATAATAATAAGGATTATAAGACAAAATATATAGACATACATTGACTTCTGTTTTTTTCAGTCCTGACATTTTTACCACTGGCAGATGATTAAACTTCAAAGTGTTTTCATTTCATTTTCAAAATGATGGAAATATTATCGAGTAAAAAGATTATATTTTTGTTGATCAATCTACACCTATATGATCAATTGCGCATGCGGGTTGCGCAGCAAAGGTCACGAACCAATCGAAAGTACTGGGATATCATCCAGGTACTCAGGGGAGAAAAAGCAATAACAAAAGCAACAACCAGTGCGCGGAAATTGCTCTGGATCAGTGCCTTGTTAAATGTGTTTACCATATGATTGTTTTGATCATGTTTTTACACGGTCGGCTTCAGTGTTCACTTCCATCAACCACCAGCTTGTAATAACACGTCACATGAGATTAGCCATGTGCTAAAATAACACCCAAATTTTAAAGCGTACCCCTTGTCAATGTCCTGAGCCTTATAAGAATCGAAAGGTCGGCTTCCTGAGTCGACATCTCATACTATGGTATGGAAGTGGTAATAATTCCCGAGCATTAGAAAACAGATTGGCTTTGTTTGGAATTTAATGCTTTTCATAAACTAGAATCTCATAAACTATTTGTCTCTGGAATCATCTGTGATATGAACTTGTGTAGTGGTTTCTCTAGAAATTATTTAACGTTATCTAAAAATTAAACATTTAGTCACCTTTTATTGTATATGACCAAATTAATTAGTTACACTATGAAGTTTTTAAGAAGGGATTCATTTGGGTTCTTTTGCCCCAGTTCGCCTGTGTGTGGATAATATAACCAATTATCTATTATTAAGTTCATGATATTTCGTGAATACACCAACTGCATAACACCGTCTCTGACCACAAACCCAAACGGGTTGCTCTCTATTCGCTCACAGTCTTAAAACAACATTTCATGGTCTGTTGACTGTTGATTTCCTGCAATGATAAACCACCTAAACGGTCCATCCCTTGTGTCAGGTGTTAATTAGAGGGTACCATTAAAGAATGTATTCTACTACAATAAGCCTATTATTCCTGGCAAGGGTTCACTTTTATGACATGTAATAAACCATGGCCAGTCAGTCAGTGGGTCCGGTAAACTTTTATTTAATCAATGATGTGACGTAGGTCTATGTAATTTGTGTTTATGCAAACCGTGACAGGTCAAAAACTATTTGCGCTTTTGTGGATAATAAGTAAAACCATACACTTAAAACTGTATTTTGGAAAATGCTAGCCATATCAGGGCAAATATGACAGTTAATGCCACTTTTGACACCTAGAACAACAAGGATGCAGACGAGAGAAGTTATACCAGGAATAATCTACAACGTCTTATAGTCTCCCTGGTTATAGTTGATCGCATAGGAGGACGAATACACTCCTAGGAGGACGAATACACAGTCTATACACTCACGGGGATCCTTGGGAAAAAGGAGAAACTGAAAGAAGTAGTGGTAAATTCCTTCCTAAATTTCCAAAGATTTCCAAGCCTTGGAAATATCATCTTTCCAATTTTGGAAATTTTGGAAATATCATCTTTCCAAATTGGAAATTTTGGAAATCACCATTTTTTTCTTGTGTAAGTCACATGTTGTCTCGATCAGTGAGAATTAAGTGTTTCTTTTCGATATTGTTAAGCAGCAATAGTCTTCGTTGGTCCATTATCACGTATTTCTAGTTTATGTCCAGTGCGAGTTTACACTGAACACAAAGACTTGGGAACCCGCGAAGATTAAAATTGGTCTTCAGTAACCCATGCTTGTCGTAAGAGGCTACTAACGGGATCGGTGGTCAGGTTCGCTGGACTTGGTTGACACATGTCATCGTATCCCAATTGCGTATATCGATGCTTATGCTGTTGATCACTGATTGTCTGGTCCAGACTCGATTATTAACAGACCGCCGCAATATAGCTGGAATATTTCTTGAGTGCAACGTAAAGCTAAACTCACTCACTCATAATATAGAAGTTGACATCCATATGTACTATCTTCCTTAGGTGTATCACTGCTAAATGCCATTGAAAGACCTATCTGAATCTGCATTCGTCACTAACTCGTGTTTTTCCGGGACAAGCGTGACCCGTGAAAAATTTTGACATTCATAAAAAATATATGCATATTATATAAGCCTGTCAGCAAAGGACAGTAAATCAGCTGGAATATCACAGTTAGAATTTTAACTACCATGTAACATTAAAATAATAACACTATCACACAACATAAAAACAGGCTATAGATCGCCAGCAATGGAAGGTAGGTCACCTTTCTAGGGACCATAGGAACTTAGTACTTTGGCTCCTTGCATGGACCCCAGCTGGATTTATATCATCCCCTCAGCCGCTGGCGATTGTAGTCAAATTTAGCCAAAATTTAAAATCACAAACATATCAGATAAGTTTAAATTTACTTTAAATGTTTCGGGACTTACGTACCCTCTCAGGAGGACAATAATTTGATAATACTTTAAGCCCCTTTGAGGGTACAGCCACTAACAATCTCAGTTACTAATCAAATTCCAATCATAAAACTTCCAATCATAAAAATATATCGACCGTGCAGTATCACCATGTATTATCGGATATCACATGATGCAAGAAAGAAAAACGAAGGACGTATTCAGTCAAGTATTTATACCTCTTTTCTTAGTACTTATTTCTGCAAAATATCTTACCAGGTGAGGGAACACCCATGGATTTATGGGACTTCCGAGGATGGCCCCGTATACCACAAAATGACCATCTGGCAGAGCCGGTGATTATGACTCCACATCTCATGAGGCATATGTATCCTGATCCGAAGCTGCTCGTCATTCTCAGGAACCCTGCTGACAGGTAGGTACCAGGTGAAGTTCCATGAACCCCGGTGACAGCCAGGTGTCAGGTGAAGTCTCATGAACCCTGTTGACAGGTAGGTACCAGGTGAAGTCCCATGAACCCTGGTGACAGCTAGGTGTCGGGTGACGTCCCATGAACCCTGGTGACAGCTAGGTGTCGGGTGAAGTCCCATTAACCCTGCTGGCAGGTAGGTACCAGGTGAAGTCCCATGAACCCCGGTGACAGCTAGGTACCAGGTGAAGTCCCATGAACCCCGCTGACAGGTAGGTACCAGGTGAAGTCCCATAAACCCTGCTGACAGGTAGGTACCAGGTGAAGTCCCATGAACCCTGCTGACAGGTAGGTACCAGGTGAAGTCCCATAAACCTGCTGACAGGTGGGTACCAAGTGTAGGTCACCAGAAGTCCCAGGTGAAGTCTCATGAACCTTGCTGACAGGTAGGTACCAGATGAAGTCCCATAAACTCTGCTGACAGGTAGGTACCAGGTGAAGTCCCATTAACCCTGCTGACAGGTAGGTACCAGGTGAAGTCCCATAAACCTTGCTGACAGGTAGGTACCAGGTGAAGTCCCATGAACCCTGCTGACAGGTAGGTACCAGGTGAAGTCCCATGAACCTGCTGACAGGTAGGTACCAGGTGAAGTCCCATAAACCTTGCTGACAGGTAGGTACCAGGTGAAGTCCCATTAACCCTGCTGACAGGTAGGTACCAGGTGAAGTCCCATAAACCTTGCTGACAGGTAGGTACCAGGTGAAGTCCCATGAACCCCGCAGACAGGTAGGTACCATGTGAAGTCCCATGAACCCCGGTGACAGCTAGGTGTCGGGTGAAGTCTCATGAACCTTGCTGACAGGTAGGTACCAGGTGAAGTCCCATTAACCCCACAGACAGGTAGGTACCAGGTGAAGTCCCATGAACCCTGCTGACAAGTACGTCTCGGATGAAGTCCCATGAACCCCGCCCCTATTTTGACCCAACAAGCTCGACTCCTGATTCAAAAAGGTTACCCACCTTACTCATGTTGTACTTCAAGACACCGTCATACTTACTACCCATTGTAAAATCTTTCCAATTCGATGACTTTTGTCATAGGTTCATTTTGTCACTGGCCAGTTTGAATCAACGAAGGAGTTGCTGAAACATATATACTGAGGGAAACAAATAAGGGATCACATGAAAGGACAAGTGTTCCTTTATGTTTTTCCAAGGTTTCTTCACAAGCTATGCGATACAAAGCTTGTGAAGAAACCTGGAAAAAAATAAGGCAACACTTGTGCTTTCATGTGATCCCTTATTTTCTCCCTCAGTATATATCAATGCAAGGAAACATCTACTGAGTTTGTTTAGATCTCTCATACGAACACTACAATTCAAGCAAGTTTCCACGGATGACAAAATATATAGTATATAGACTTCTTTGATCATTTCAGGTTATATTCCGACTACTATTTTCTTGGATATGGTAATTCCCCGGAAAAGTTCCACAAAGATGCAATAAGGGCGGTAGCCATGATTGAAAACTGTCTGAAAATAAGGACAAGAAAACAGTGCATCTTCGATATGGACATGTACGTCAATTTACCGGTAAGATCATACGAATGATATTATGGAGAGGACAATATTGATAATTTCATACCTCTACCTCACTGTTGTCTGTATAATCACAGTTAACATTGCTATTGTTGATAACCACCTTTGCCATTCAAATATGGAATAAGACTTCGTGAACCTTCATATCAGTTAGTGTTACGTCATAACGGACGTCCTGAAACATTTGCCCAAACATGAACCAGACGAGGTAGGAAACTATCATGTCTTTCGTTAGACACTGCGCGATTGTCATGGGACGAATGCAACATCTTGACTGACTGACTGAGTTTCGCGCCGCTTTAGCAATATTCCAGAATATCACGAGAACACCAGAAATGGGCTTCACTCATTGTACTTGTCGGAGATTAGACTCTGCGTGACGAGCCAACGTTTTCCATTAGACTACCCTACCGCACCTACAACATCTGGAACAGAGGGACCAGAACTGGAAACAACCCATTCTGGCTCACCCTCACGGACTGCATGAAACTGCTTGTTGTTGTTTAACGCCGCAAGCATCAATATTGCAACTATATGGCGACGGTCTGTAAATATTCGAGCCTGGACCATACATCATGACATCAACATCGCGTTGTTCATCTGCGCAGTTGGGATACGATGACATGTGTTAACCAAATCTCCTCTCACGGCAAGCATAGGTTGCTGGAGACACATTTTAACCCGGATCGTCACGGTTTCTGTACTTCCAACTGACAGGGAGGTGAGGTGAGGTGAAATTGGGTTTTACGTCGTACTTGAGAATATTTCGCTCATATTACGACGTGCATGCGTGTATGTATATGTGCGGCTGCTTGTACTAGCCCAGACTGAAGCTGGTTTTATAGTGCTAGCTCACTGAGATACCATGCGGCAGTGAAGCATGGATACCCCACTCAGACACATTATACTGACTCCGAGCCGACCAGTCCTTGTTGTACCAATTAATGCCAAGCGCCAGACAGAGACGAACAAGTACCATATTTTAACGTATTTTGGTATGACGCGGTCGGGGATCGAACCCGCGACCTTCCGCTTCCGCTCTAACCACTACACCACGGAGGCGGTCTCCACTGACAGGGACATAACAACAGCACACCCATTATAAGTAAACAACACTTCATTATTTGATGATAAATGATAAAGACATAACCCTTTCCTTGTATTCCGTCTACATTGGTGTCTTCATTTATCTTTTGAGGTACAAACTTTTAGCAAGATTTTAAAGAGTGATATGACCTTTGCTCCAAATATATTTCATTAAGGTTACATTCAAGGCCTCAATATAGCATTCAAAGGGTTTTTATGGTTGTGTTCAGATTCCTAAATTTGACGCCCAAAATATATAATTTCTTCGATTGTGTTCCGATTGTTTTTGCACAAATTGCAACTGGCTGACGCTTCCATGTGTTTGTGACGGATGTCCCAGTGGTGCAGGATACGCTAGGGCTTGCCTGGTATTATCATTAATTTGAATGACTTAATCGACTTGTCATTCAGCAAGATTTCTTTTGAGTATGAATTAGTTTCGTTACTTTTATCAGTATTATAAATATTCTGTATTTAAATGGACATGTATAGCAGATATATTTCTTTCCTTGAATAATAATAACCTGATAAAATGTTTGGTGATTTTCATTGTGCTGCTTTAGACTAAAAGTAGAATCTGCCAAATGTGCAACTTACATGAGGTCGAAGATGAATTTCACTTTTATGTGTTTGCCCAGCATGCTTATCGTTAAGAAATAGATATATAAAGAAATATTATTATGTACATCCTGATATAAGTTTATATCATTCATGAATAATTCCAGTAAAACACATATAGAAAGATTGTCCATATATATCCATAAAGCTTTTATTCTCCGAAAGAATGTTCTACTACCCGCACATGATTAATCAATGTACTACAGGCCTGTGGCCTTCAGAATGAAATAAAGAAATACGACTAAACAAGACCCCGTCCCAAAAACCCTGTTACAGGACTGTTGGTCAACTAAACACGAAAACTTTTGTTGTCTTTCACTTTCACATTATGGTATCCTTAAAACGGTTGTTTTGTCGTCAATTGGCTGCAAAGAAATACGTTCAAAATACATTTTCATTACTTTTATCTATCTCTTGTTCCAGATGCGAATTCACATTAGCTGTTACTCAGTGTTTTTGAAGGAATGGATGAGAGTCTTCCCAAGAGAGAGTTTTCTTATCTTGCGAAACGAAGACTATGGGCATGACATAAGAAATCACATGAATATGGTTTTCAGCTTTCTCAATATGAGTAAGTTATGTAATATTGTAAAATTCAACATTACAACTGAAAATGTACCTCATAACATCATTTTCTAGAGTACCAAAGGAAGTTCAGTAAAATCAGTCAGTTTTACCGTAACATGCTAAACATGATGCATTATTAATGGCCTACCTACAGTTATCAATACTATCTAGTGTTAATAGTGACGGAGTGGATTTTACGACATTTATAACAGTTTATAAGTTTTATCATGTATCCAAGTGTTTACATGAAATCATTTGTATCTATATGTTAGGCTCATTGCTGTCTGCATGCGTACCATTGGTGCCTGCATACATAGTCGTGACCTATTCGTGACGATGATAGGCATTGAATTCCTCCCGTATACAGTTCTTCATATGAGACTAGGAGTGGTTGAGTAGCTAGGTTGTTCAAGCGTTAGCTCGTCACGCCGAAGACCCTGGTTCGATTCCCCACATGGGCACAATGTGTGAAGCCCCTTTCTGGTGTCCCTTGCCGTGATAATGCTGGAATATTGCTAATACCGGCGTAAAACCAAATTCACTCACTCATACGATATTGACTTATATATGGGTATGTTATCCAACCTGTATACATGTATATGAATTCAGTTTTATGTTAATACAATCTTCAAAAAAAAAGAAACTATACATACTGTTTTGTAGTTTACTTACTGAATGCATATAATTGATTCAAACATGACAGCATTGCTCAATTACAGTAAAATCATCAAAATTTCCGAAAATGATTATCAAGAAAGTGTTTGGTAAAACCACAGAGGGCTATTAAAGCCACTTGCTCCGAGTAAAATGTTAGTATCTGGTGTGACCACCATTAGCATCGATAGCAGATTGGCAGCGGTGACCCATAGAAGAAAACAGATGCCGAATGCTGTCTTGAGGGTTTTTGATACTTTGCTAAAGTGTTGTGTGCAGTTATTGTAGTGTCTGAGGTGGTGGATTAGGCTGGCGCAAGCGTCGACCAAGAGTATTCCGTAGATGTTTAATGGGGACAAATCAGGGTAATCGAGAAGGCCAAGGTAACACCTGAACATGGTTGCTGGGGAAAGTCCTATTAAACACGTGCAACGCGAGGTCGAGCATGTCAAGCTCCAAAGATCAACCGTTGACGTTGATGAAAGGAACGGTGTGACGTTGAACTGGTCTTCTGGCAAAAGTGTGGCTTCCCATAGCCAATTGCGCACTGTCTGGTCGGAGATTCGACGCAGTCCAGGGATTTGGATTGTTGTGGATGATGCGGCCGTGGTGTTTGAACGAAGATGTAGCGATCCTGGGCGGCGGTGGTTACTCTAGGTTGACCTGACCTGGGTCTGTCATTAACACTCCCAGCATTGTTGTATCGGGTTCATAGGTTTGAGATGGTCTGTCTGGACACGCTGAAGTGCCTTGCCACCTTATGCTGCTATACCCGTCCTTGTAAACGGCCGATGGCGTTTTGTCGTTGAGCTTTTTGCCAGTCTCTTCATTCTCTTGTCGTCCATAGTGGCTTAAAGCAATGTATGTGGAGTACCACTGATGTGGCTTCTTAAACCCTACAGTCATAGGCTTCAACCCTGGGTGATACACAATTTCATTATGCACGTGCATTTCATGTAGGGTGCGTTTTAGAGATCCACTACAGTTGTGAGGAGTGTAACGTTACGTTTTGTTCAACGTTTCTTTTTCAAACGATTTGTCGTCGGCAACCATCCCCCACATGTTAGGATTCAGCATGGATTGGTATGTGTCAAATATTTTCCTAAAATTCAAAGTTTTCATATGTATAGTTTCTTTTTTGTGAAGAGTATATATAAATTTGATATGCATATTTTAGATGTTGAAGGAAAATCAAATTGAATTAGTTCATAACTCGATACATATTTTTCACATATTCTGCTCTTTCTTCAAGGTCGATTACCGGACGCAGACATGGACGTGATATCTAACGCAAAGAGGAAGCACGTGACACAATCCAAGAAGAACAAAGGTCCCATGTTTGAATCCACGCGTGTTTTGTTGAACAATTTCTTTGAGCCATATAATAAGGAATTAGTAACATTGTTACAAGATGACCGATTCTTATGGAAGGATGAACCAAAAACACACACTTGAAATAGCAAGACCATCGAGTGGACGTATATGACTGTATAGTTTCCCTTTGGAATGCTGCAGCAGTAGGATATCCATTCAGAAGCATAATTAATTCAAGTTTGCATGGTACACAGGGGACCTGGATATCATCATACTGCAATGTTATACCTCGTGTATACCATTGGCAACCTCATTCACTTATATTTACTATAAAAATGACACTCAGGAATGAACATAACAATTGCGGAAAGACAAAATGTAGAAAGATATGGAGAATGACTAAAAACCTGTTATTTGAAGTTCGATAGCCCTCTCAGCTTTGCAACACTGGGAGCCCAATTTATGAGAGGACTTGCAAGGACTCAGTGTTTCTACGGCTGCCACATACCTGTCTCCATTTCATGACATTAAGCAATTCTAAGTATTCATCCCTAAATAAATACATGTTCCTGATCATCCAAGGGTTGTGTTACATTGTGCTTATGTCCTGCATATGTTCAGTTGTCAATTGGACGTTTCTCCTGCTGTATCTTGCACGTCCAAAACGCGTTGTGGGGATGATATATCCATTGATTTACTGATTTATTGTTTTAACGCCACACTCAGCAATATTCCAGCTATTTGGCGACGGTCTGTAAATAATCGAGTCTGGACCAGACAATCCAGTGATCAACAACATGAACATCGTTCTACACAACTGGGATACGATGATATGTATCAACCTAGTAAGCGAGCCCGACCACCCGATCAACGGCATGAGCATCGTACCATGCAATTGGAATACGATGACAGGTGTCAACAAAGTCAGCGACTCTGACCTGATCCCGTTAGTCGCCTCTTACGACAAGCAAGGGTTACGATAAGCAAGGGTTGGTTACAACTCTAACCCGGATCTTCACGGGTTGATCAATGTATCCAACAGACAAGGGCTGTGACTGGGACCAATTACTCTCGTACAGTAGGCATTCATTCAACAGGCCGCAGATCCTTCACTAGGCTAAAACACTAGCTCAGCGTAGTGTTACTGTCACGTCTTTGTTCAACTTGTTGACCGCTGAGTAATACACAATATACACGGCACTGTATGCACTGCCAGTATAAAATCAATGCATATTGAATTTAGTTCAGCTGTGTAAAGTTGATCAATCTAAAGGCAAGTACGACAATTATTGTGAATATTCATTTAATTGGCAATTATTGTCTGTCACCACATGTTGTTTATTCAATAAGAACAGCATGTGAAATGGTTTCGGAAGTGGAACCACAAATCTCATGAGATGGGTGAGTGAGCGAGTATGGTTTTACGCCGCTTTTAGCAATATTCCATGAATATCACGACGGGGACACCAGACATGGGCTTCACACATTGTACCCATGTGGGGAATCGAACCCGCTTTAACCGCTAGGCTACCCCGCCTTCAGCGTGACGAGCGAACGCTTTAACCAGATGCTGGGTCTGTAGGGTTATTTTCTACTCCCACAACCCCATATAACTTCTAACCAATTGTAGATAAGATTCGATATGTGGATTTACCTGTTAATAAGAAAGTGGAATGAACATTTAAACATTCTAACAGGAGGAAATTGCATATACAAACAACATAAACCAGCTGAAAATGCAGATGGAAATGCTCAGCCACAAAACTGAGGGTGTTTTGGCATCAAACATCTAAGTATGGATAAACGCATTGTTAGGATATATAAAGGGGATCACATCAGTATATAATACATTTCAACTGTCTTCAAGGAATGGTTAAAGTCAATTATTACAAAGTGCGTTATATTTAACATGTATTATTTGCATGAACGCGTTTTGTGGTAGTACAGATTGGTAGGTGTTTCGTAGTAATTGTCAGAGGGGGCCCAGTGGTCTAAAGCGTCGCATTTCGCCTAGCAGAGTTGCGTCCCTTGGGCACGCTAGGAACCTATGATTGTGCGCTATGTATCGCAGTCAGGGAACAAAACCCGCCGGCCGCCAGAAACTGAAGAGAGACGAGGGGAGTTCCTAGCTGTCTCTATTCTCAGCTTGCCAGCTACCAACGACACTATAAACAGGAGAGTTTTAAGGTCGGAAACGATAACGGGCAAACACCGAATCCTCAGACATGGTTTCAAGAGGGTTGCTACGGTCGATTACTCTCCACTCTGGTCTTGTTTCTCTGACTTCGTTGTCGCCTTCTCCTATACGCCATTCTGATCTCAATTATTGACTTATGTTACCTACCTATCAGATTCAATATTTTGAGTTTCCAACCCAAGTTGAGTCGAAAAACAAACTCAATTTTCTTTTGAGAAATTCATTTTTTAGTTTTCTCAATTTGAGTAAATACTAAAACCTAAAACACACCTATTCAGACAATATTTTGGGATTTAAATCCTCAACACCCCACCCCGATATTCATCATCTTAGCCTTTACTGTCTTTTAAGCATCGCTGTGTTTTTATCATTGCGTAATCTTTCTGTAAAGTGCCACTGAGCAGGCAAGAACCTGGATATTAGGTGCTATACAAATAATTTGTCATTCATTCATTCATACCTTGTGTTTGTGAGTTCTACCAAAGTCTTGCATCACTTGGTAGTTTCTTACCACATTAAACAGCCACGCAGTGATATAACTGGAATACAGTTCAAAGCGGAGTTGAATCCGATTCACTCACTGACTTGTTTCTAAATATATCACTGAGGAGTGAGTGAGTTTAGTTTTACGCTGCAATTTTCACTATTCCAGCTATATGGTGGCGGTCTGTAAATAATCCAGTCTGGTGCAGACAATCCAGTGATCAACAACATGATCTACGCAATTGATGAATTGTGAAATCAGTAAAAGCAAAACCGTTGGTAAAATATATGGCAGGGGCAAATATACTACCCATCAAACGTTTAGACTTACTTAAAACACTAACTATATTTTATGTATTATTTCTCCACTGACTTGGGGAACCAAACCTTACGCGGATGAATTGCACAGTGATCATGCATCAAATTGCTGAAAAGCATGTGCAAATATCGTTATGTGAACAGATGCGTTTTGGTGTAAAGATTTGTTAAGAATTCGCCAATTTTCATTGTGTTTCATCATTTATTGAACTCATGACCTTAATCTTTTCAACGTTACGAATTTGTTTTACAATACATCAGTTCATGTGTAAATAGAACCTTTGAACTATGGAATATTGAGCAAAATCTAGTTTAGAACAATTGACTGAAGTAAGTGGCTACATTTACACTAGTGAGTCTAAACTTTTGACTGGTAGTATAGTAACAGACCCTACACCAAATATCATTGCACTCACGAACGTCCGGAAATTGTCTGTCAAACGTGTTGAATGGGGTATCTGCTCCGTTCTTGAATCGGTAAACAGTGTTATGAGAGGCAGGAGCTAGGTGATTTCTTACTGACATTATGTCTGCACTTGTACGTTATTGTTTGTTTTGTTCAACGCTGCCATCAGCAATATTCCAGCTATATGGAAGTGGTCTGTACATAATCAAGTCTGGAACAGACAATCCAGTGATCAGCATCATGAGCATCGATCTACGCAGTTGGGATACGATGACATGTGTCAACCAAGTCAACGGGCCTGACTACCCGATCTTGTTAGTCGTCTCTTGCAGCAAGCATGGGTTGCTGAAGACCATTTATAACCCGCGTATTCGCGTATATACATGTAAGGTGAAAGCCATATGGAGGGATCGATTTTCCATAGTTTTGCTTCCCTCAGGTTACAACCAGCAAAATCCATGAATGGTGTAGACCTCTTTACAAACAACCTTTGACAGCAACTGTACCTTATTAGACTCCAAAGTTGCCGCTCTGGTAACATACCATGACATTTTACGATCGCTTCATTTGTTACCTGCAACAAAATCTACCGCTACATTACACTCTGATCTTCTACTTAATCAATAATTTCAAAAGTGGATGTTTACAAGAAATATTTTTAATCGCCTGAAGGTCTGAAAAGATCATGTATTGTTTATATTTAGGATGTTTATTAATATATTTAAGAGCTGTTAGTATTGCATTAGCTTCTGCTGTGCTGTGAAAATAGAGCTGTTGTCATATAATTAACGTCAGATCGGCAATAGTTCAGATCCATGACAGTGGCACAATCAACTGCGCCACCATCCTTAGATCCATCTGTAAATATAGAATTGTATGTACCATAATTATTTCTGTAATCGATCGAAATCGAATGTACTGGAACGAACCCTTGCCAGGTTTTGAATATCCCGTTCGGGAATGCGAGGGCTAGACAAGGCCTTGCCAACCATTCTTGAAGAACTTGTGAACAACATGGGTAAACTAAATGAAATTGACGAGCACATCGCTCGCGAGAAAAGAAAACTCGGGATCCTGGACGACGAGGCCACGAAAAACATCATTGAGAAAAGATTGCGCGACCTGGAAGACGAGATCTGGAAGCCACTTCCTCCAACCGGGAAGCCCTCTGATCGCAAATCAGGCGCGTGCGAGAAACCATCGACCGAGTCTTGAACAAGGACACCACGTTGGCCGACAGGATCCGAACTCTATTCCGGGAACAAGGCATCACCATTGCCAGCGTTCTGACGTCCTTGGGCTTCATCATATCGACCTTAGTCGTATTGCGGCGGCGGCACACCAAGCCCAACACCCCCAACAAGTCAATCAGGCGACGTCAGAGACTGGATAAAAAAACATCTGAAATCGCTCAGGGAAGCCCTGGCGGGACCGGCCGGTGTAAGATTGAAAACATACCCGCGTTGAAAAGGTACCCGGCGGGTACTTTTTCAACATTGAATTATTACCCGGACTCACTTTTCAACGCCCGGGGTCTTTTTTCAACATTGAATATTTACCCGGCTGCTATTGAAAATAAACCCGGATCACGTATTGAAAAGATACCCTCGTTGAATAATGACCCTCGCTGTTTCTACACTGTCAAGTAAGATACATATGTTAAGATATATACGCGTATGCAACGAACCGGACATCTGTGGTTTGATGCAATGTGCGAAATAGCCACTGGTCCGCTAGTCCGTGGCTAGTAAAATTCCAGTCGGGCCAGTAAATCTCCACAGTCACTGGGCCGACTGGCAAGTGAACTTTCATGGGGTGATTTTGAAAACATATAATTCTCTCCGACATGTTAACTTATAATATACTTTTAAATCATGCAAGATTATGGCCTGATAAAAATGTTCATCATATTGGCAGCTTAATGATGAAACCCGTGTCTACATTCAAATTTCGGGCTAGTGATATATTTTGTGGGCTAGAAACTTTCAGGCATATCTTGCCCGACTGGTAAGTACAATTTGGAAACTATTTCGCACACTGGTTGGATGGTGAACATAGACACATTTTAGCTCACCTGGACAAACTTCAGATGAGCTTATGTCGTTGGCTGTATGTCCGTCGTCGTGCGACATCTGTAAACATCATTTCCGAAACTACTTAGCCGATGAGGCT